GGCCTCCAGGGTGCTAGGCAGTGCCCTACCATAGAACCCCTCCAGGCCCTGGAGCATGGGGACACTTTAAAGCATCAGTGGGAAGATCCCCAAGCTGTTAGGAAGTATTCCACTATCTGTGCGGTCAGCCCAGCGTGTCCACATGCTCTGCACCACGGATTCAACCAACCGTGGATGGAGAAGATTCAGAGAAAAAAATGCACCCGTAGCAAAACACGTAGATTTTTTCTTTCATCCTTCCCCAAACAATACAGCATAGCAGCTATTTAAACACAGTCACCATCGTATTAGGGATCATAAGTCATCGGGGTCAGGCATTGGGGAGGAAGTTTGGAGCTTCTATGCAAACACTTCACTTAAAAAAAAGAAAAAAAAAAAAAACCCAGGGGTGCTCGACCTATGAGCCACATCCCCAGCCCTTTTTAAAGATATTTTTTAATTTAGAGACAGGGTCTTATTAAGTTGCTTAGGGCCTTGCTCAGTTGCTGAGGCTGGCTTTGAACTGGTGATCCTCCTGCCTCAGCCTCCCGAGCTGCTGGGGTTACAGGTGTGTGCCCCTGCACCTGGCCAACACTACACATTTTATATAGGGGACTGGAGTGTCCATGGATTTGGTATCCACAGAGGGGATGAAGGGGGCAGGGAGATGTCCTGAAACCAATCCCCACCATGGATACAGAGAAAAGACTTCATGAAACAGGAGGGGGGAGGGGAACAGAAGGAAGGAGGAGGGGAGGAAGAGAATATATATGTATATAGTTAAATAGATTCACTTGTATTTGTATAAATATGTGTGCACATTCATTTATACCTGTTACTGGTAAATATTTGAAATGCCCCCACAAAACACACACACACACACACACACACACACACACACACACACACATACTAGTTGTCCCCAAATGGGGAGGCGGGAAGACTTATTATTTCATATATTTTCATGTGAATGTGTTACCATTTTTTTTAGATGCTCATGCACCATTATTTCACTTATTTACTTCTATGTGGTGCTCAGAATCAAACCCAGTGCCTCACACATCACAGGCAAGTGCTCTACCACTGAGCCACAACCTCAGCCCCATGTGTCACCATTTTTTAAAAGTGCCATTGAAGAGCTGGAGGTACGCAGCTCAGTGGTAGAGATGTGCCTAACAGGTACGGGGCCCTGGGTTCAATCCCTAGTACCAATAAATAAATCAATTTAATCAAATGCAATTTAAAACAAGTTAATAGTCAGGCATGGTGGCACACGTCTGTATTCCCAGCAATTTGAGAGGCTGAAGCAGGAGGATTGAAAGTCTCAGGCAGCCTCAGCAACTTAGCAAGACTGTCTCAAAATAAAGAATAAAAAGGGCTGGGACGTGGCTCAGTGGTAGAGTGACTGCTGAGCATATGTGAGGCCCTGGGTTCCATCCCCAGTACCAGGGAAGGGGCTGGAAGGAAGTTAATTTTTAAAAAAAGCAAAATAAAAAGAAATATGGAAATACACGCAATTCTGGAGCCTTTGAGTCTGGCTTCCAGGTTATCTACACTTCAGTATTCTGACTACTCTATAATTCTAATTTGTGATTCTATGTGTTATTTTTCTTCTAGAACTCCCATATTGTGTGTTCTCAGGTCCCATGTGCATGTCCCCCTGGGTCAGCCTTGTGATTCCCACCCAGGACCTGGACACTCCAAATCAGCTGTCACCCAGAACAGACGCCTCCACAGCCGGACACTGCGAGTGCTCACCTCAGTGGGGGCCCACAGTTGACCAGGGAGATGGTCCTGCTGATGTAGGTGTCAGAGGGCAGCTCCCGGATTCCTGGGTGCTCATGGAATCTCTCCACACGCTGTTGGAAGCTGGGGGGAGAAGAAGGGGCAGTTGGCATGATAGATGGTGCCCAGTGCCCGGTCAGGGCCCCTGGCCGAGCACTCAGCCTTTCAGTCTGATCCCTCCCCGGCCCCTCTGCCCATCCTTACTCCTCTCCTCTATAGGATCCCAGGTCCCGGTACCC